TACACATACACACACACACACACACACACACACACACACACATGCACACATACACACGCGCACACACACACACACACACACACACACACACACACACACACACACCGGACAGGTAGGAAAGAGAAAGAGAAAGAGAAAAAGATACAATGAAATAAATAAACAGAGGAGTAGAGAGAGAAAATAGACGAGAGAGGGACAAGGAAAGAGAGACAATATCCAAAACTTACTGGAGTTCCCTGCTTGCTGACTGCCATCATACATCATGATATCAAAAGGATTCCTCCCAAGTTTATAGCTTTTCACGGGAGTTTTCTTGTCCAGCACTCGTAATGTAGCTAATTTCCGCTCAGTCAAGAAGATAAAATCCTGAAATTATGCCGGTTTATTGTTGTATTTTGAGGGGTGGAGTGAGTGAGGGGGGGGGGAGGGAAGTTTATGTTGATGCTGTACATGATCATCAACGCAGTTTAGGTCTTTGGTAGGCAAGATGTCTGTCAGGGTAAACCCGCACTAAGATGGATAAGACGTCCGAGTAGAAAGACCGAGCTGCTCGACAAGTCATCTGCATACGACCAAATGCCAAACTGCGGCACCACAAATGCTGGTCATTTGTTTTAGTTTGTTAGTTTTTTTTAAGGGAAGAAAAGAAAAGACAAGAAAAGTCATTTTGTGTTGAAAAAAAAATCAAAATGTATAGACAGAATCGCGGGTAAGGGGGGAGGAGGGCTTTTCTCAAACTCGGGTAGGTGCTCAACCAATTAGGACGGTCCAATCGAAGATGCGTGTTAAACCCTCGGGGCGGTGCCATTGACTGAAGTGTCATTAGGCCATTCCCAAAGGGGGGACATTTCTCGTTCTAATGCACAGTAGAATTGTAATGGGCTGATCCAACAATGTCATGCTCATAACTGTGCCTGAGCTACAACAGGGAACTGCTGCTTTCTCTTTCCTTATCCTTACTATCGTCATTTTCCTCTACTTCTTTTGTATGTTTGTCACACTCTTGTGACCCGCTATTCCCGGGGTGTCTTCAAAGCAGACTTTGTGCTGATGAAGCTAGAGAGGTGAGCAGTGTAAGTCTGATTCCCTGTAAAGACTTCTCTGTTGACACCCACCCCTTGGCACTCATATGATCTTAAGCAGTTCCGAGCGCGTAAAACCTCTACTAAAACTAAACTCAGAGGCCCCTGTCTCTTCAATAGCCTAAAAATATTGAGATGGGTGTCACTTATTATATTTATTATTATTATT